GACGAGTTGTCAAAGAGGATGACAAAAAGTCGATCAGTGGTTCATTGTTCCATATCAATACTTTTGGTAAAATTGTTTTATTTAGTTTATTTTTTATTTATCTATATCTTATATTTTTCCTTAAAAAATATCCAGTATACCATAAAAAATAAAAACTATAAAGAACGACAGAAGAACAAGAAACAAAAACGAGGGTGCCCACTTTCATTTGTCTCTCAGTGTACATATAAGTTGTTATATAAATATATGTATAGTTAGTTTGCTAATACATTTATTAGAAGCAGAAATAATGCTGCATAATAAGGTGAACCAAACTTTCTTCTTTCTTCTTCTTGTCCAAAAATTTGAAGATTGAATCGATTAGCAGTTGAAACTCTTTCCTCTACTCTGGATTCAGAAACTTGCTCAAGGGCCAATAAAAGCATTTGATAATTATACGTTTGATCATATACTCCTGGCAGGCATTATCTGTTGACAGTTATACAGTCGACCGTCGCAGGAACATGTTTCAGATGTGATGAGATTAAATCTCTTCAAATAGGCAGCGAACTGATTCTTAAAGTTTGTTCAATTTGTGTGTGCGTACGTGCGCTTATTATTTGATTTTCAAATTCTTCTAATGCAGGCTTTCTCGAGAGTGCATCTGCTTCTGTAATATCCTTGTCTGGTGAATGTCGAATGGTGAAATCGTATTGCTGTAGATAATATACCAATTCACTTAATTCCTCATCTGTTCTACATTTTATTTTTTTATAATTTTCTAACGGCTTGTGGCTTGGAGATAACTACAAATGTATGAGCCAGTGCTGCCAGTAACGCACTGCTTCTTTGATAGCTAAATATTCCAGATAGATGGCTTTCTTTTTTTATTGTGTAGGCGTCCAATTTTTTTGAAAAGTTAGCCATTGCATTTAGTTCACCATTATCTTCATTTTGGTTTAAAATTGCTCCTATATCCAATCCACCAGCATCCTATAAAACATTATATAAAGAAACATGAGCCGATTTGGTTCAAAAATTGCTAGAATTGGACTTGTGCAAAGGCCTACTAAAAATTATTTAGTCCATTTATTTGGACAAATAATTGATCACACTTCTTAATCCATTGGAAAGGATTTTGCGGACAAATTCGTTCTAAAGGTATAGTAGAATTTGGTAAATATTTATAATAAAAATTTAAGGTCTTGGGAACTTCCTGATTGATATTAAATTATCATGGTGAGGACTAATTGTATTGTTCTGCCCTAAATATTTAACTCAACGCTGAGAAAAATTAAATTTTATTAATTATCCATCACATATGCATCTGATGTACATGAAGTAAGTACATGTTACATTTTTCTCAGAAATTCATACTAACGATTAAGCTGAGTAATCGCAATTGAGATATAAGGATCTAAAGATTTATGTGCTAGTTTTAATTATATGCCCTAAAAAGGGCGAGAAAAGGCAAACTAATTATTCTAAAGATATGATATATCAGTTCTTTTTTACAACGGAGGTTTGGTTTAAATTAAGTGGTTGATTATTACTTGGTCTATTTAGATATCCGTTCATTCATGCAACTGTTGTTAACAAAAAAACACGTCTTAATTGAAATGTGGTTTCCGAATTGAAGTAGCAAGAACAGGCGAAACACATAGAATCAATTGTCAAACCAAAAGATATTATTTTTACCCTCCTGAATGGAGCTGTTCCTCGCAAAAATTAATTAAAAATCCTTGTTTGCAATAGTCTAGCGATGAACTTGTCCACGCATTAATCAAGGAAATATCAATAGAGTTATGAAACAATTTGATAGTTAAAGCAATTTGCACAATTGCTGGGTCTTTATTGGTTAAGTAGATTCGTTGCATGACAGTGGCCGCAACTCTTTCATCATCGGCAAGACTGAATCTACTTAATGCCCGAAATATGTTCTATTATTTTGTTTTGAATTAATAGAACAAACAAAAAAAACCTTCTTTTGTTACAAAGCCTGTTATCTACATTGTCCCTAATCACTCATTCCGTAATTTTTTCGTCCAAAGGGGACTTTTAACGTGATTAAATGGAAGTTCGCGTAGGCTTCCGCCTCCAGCTTTTACGGCCTTTCGCTCGGTTGGGTATCTTGGCAACATAAGACTGCAGCTGTCCGGCTTTAAATTTCTTGTCTGTTATAAACGGCAGGCGTTGGCTTCTGGCAGAAAAATTCCCCCTTCTGCGAAGCCCATACATTCCGTGATCAACAGACCAAAAGGAAGAGCCATCCGGAAGGAACTTAATGCCTGCTTTGGAGATTCTATTGTATTTTTTAACACTCAGAAGGATTATTATTAAATTTTTGACTTCAAGAAAATTTATTTTTATACATTTTTATAAAATAAATCATTTTGGTATACATTTCCTCATTTAACATTCCATGAACTTTAATATAACAATTATTCGGAGATGGTGAGGTGCGGTCTGGTGTGACGTAGGTTTTACAAAAACATTTTTTTTTATCGTGCCATTTATCGTTTCGATCTTTATTGAGATCATCTTCAGAGCCTGGGATTTACAAAATTGTATAAATTTTACAAATACATGTAGGATGTGAAAAAGTGAACTTACGCAACGCTAGAAATTTTAGATTTAAAAAACAAGAATTTATACAATGCTGAAAAATGAATTTATACGATGAAAATTTTACATTCAAAAATCATTGTATAAATTCATTTTTTTTAATCTAAAATTTCCTAGCATTGTATAAATTTATTTTTTAAATTTTTTAGCATTGTATAAATTCATTTTTTTAATTTTTAGCATTGTATAAATTCTTTTTTTTTTTTTTCATACTAGATGTATTTGTAAAATTTAAACAATGTTTATTAATCCCAAGCCCTGAAGATGACCTAAATAAAGATCGAAAAGTTGGCATGAAAAAGAAAATGTTTTTCTGAAACTCACGATTTCCAAATAATTAACATTTAACTTTTACCAATCCATGAACTTTAATATAATAATTATTCGGAGATCGTGAGATGCGGTCTGGTGTGACGTAGATTTTAGAAAAACTTTTTTTATCGTGCCAACGTTTCGATCTTTAATTATTCCGAAATCGTGAGATGCGGTTCGGTGTGATGTAGGTTTGAAGTAGTAGAAACCTACATCACACCAGACCGCATCTCACGATTTCGGAATAATTATCGATTAACAGTCACTAATAATCAGCACACGTTTCGATCTTTATTGAGATCATCTTCAGGGCCTGGGATCTACAAACATTGTTTAAAATTTACAAATACATGTAGAATGTGATAGAATGAATTTATACAATGCTAGAAATTTTAGATTAAAAAAAAAGAATTTATACAATGCTAAAAAAATTTAGATTAAAAAAATGAAATTATACGATGCTAGAAAATTTTAGATTCAAAAAAGCATTGTATAAATTCATTTTTTTAAATCTAAAATTTCCTAGCATTATATAAATTCATTTTTTAATTTTTTTAGCATTGTATAAATTCATTTTTTTTTATTTTTTAGCATTGCATAAATTCATTTTTTTTTATTTAAAATTTCTAGTATTGTATAAATTCATTTTTTCACATACTATATTTGTTTGTAAAATTTAAACAGTGTTTATAAATCCCAGGCCCTGAAGATGATCTCAATAGAGATGGAACGTTGGCACGTTACAGAAAATGTTTTTCTAAAACCTACGTCACACCAGGCCGCATCTTACGATCTCTGAATAATCATTGACTAACGGTCACTAAATACCACACACTTTATTATAATAATAATAATTGAGAAATTTATTGTTTTCTTCCGGTGCTATGATCCCGACAACAGACAAGATTCTGTATAAAAAGTAAATTTAAGTACCAATTAAAGACAAACGAACACGAATTGGACGAAACCCCTTATATGTCATTTGCCTTGGTACCAAATCGACATACCTAATAAAACATATGACGAAGCAGTAAAACACTATAACGGCTACATTTATTTAACGACCCTGTGAAATAAAATTGTATTTAATTACAAGATAAATTTGTGAGTACTCCGCTAATGGGCATCTCTATTAAGGTTTCTTAATTGAAAGGAATTAAGAAAGATGCCACGTGCATTATGGGTGAACGTACTCGTGGCATTTTTCATCCCCTTGTAAATAATAAAATATTTAACAATATAAATTTGTTACAATGATAAATTAAAGCCAGTACGCCTGGATTATTTTGTTTTATTGTTTCATTAAACAATGCTTGTTTTCTATGTTAAAATTAAGGGAAAGTTCAAGAAATCTTCAACCACGATACAGAAACGATAAAGAATGCCTTCCTCCAGCCCACATCGGCGGTTCTTTTTGCAAATAAGCAAAAATGAAGGATAACCAATTTTCCTTGTGCATCAAAGATCCAAGAATGATTAAAACAACAGACTGTTTAAAATAATCTGTTTCTATTATCGTAAAAATTACGCATAGAAGTTATAAATAAAGATTATGCTCTGTGTATTTATATGCGTGTGTGTTAATTTGTCTGCTACTAATTTGGCCAATGTACACACCCTCAACCTAACAAAACAAAGATTGATAGTGGATTTTTATCAAAGTCGGCCAGGGCGATTTGTAGCATGTTCGAGGGTGAAGTACAGGCCTTAATTAAATAAGGGCTACGCCCGGAAAACGCCCTTGATTTTCGCGGAAAAAGAAACTTAACAAGAGAACTATTACCGGTGTTCTTTTTTCCCAACACAGAATAAGAATGACGATATAAAAATGAAAAACCTTTTGTTTAACAAAAAATTGTGTTTCCTTAACAATGAATTTGAATTGTAATAATCATTGCACAGCGTTCTTGTAGTCAACTTATTAATTTATATTTTAATTATACAGATATGTGCTAAGGATCAGGAACAGCAAGGAAAACCTGTCTTTAAAAATGTCCACCATTAATCACCACTCATTTGCTTTACTATAAAATTGAAATCATATTATTTCTTTGTTAGTAATTTTACAATTTTCTTGTTCATAGCATATGGGATGCCTTCTCCAGATGATGATTACAATAATGATGATATTATAAATGATGATCTAGTGGATGATTATGACGATGAACCAAAAATGGTGTCCAGAAATGAGAATTACACTGTTGCAGTTGGTGCAACAGTTTCATTACCTTGTAAGATCGAAGGAGGTATGTGATAATATTTACACTTGAATTATTAAAATTTCAACTATTCCTAATACAAACTTTTTTCTCAGAGGATCCAGTAGTACAATGGACTTATAGTGATAGTAAAAGGGAAAAGAAACCTGTACGGCTTTTTTTCGGCACACACAGGCAAGAGGCGGACCATCGCATATATTTGTCAGCTGATTTTACATTGACAATATCCAATGCCAATCTGAAAGATTCTGGTCAATACAAATGTATCCTGGGGTTTAAAAATGTTACAGAAAATGAATTAAACTCAGTGATGTACTACGTAAGAGTCGGAGGTAGTACATTCTCTAAAATTTTTAATTTTATGATCTAAAAAAAAAATTGCTCACAAATCTGGCACCTTTTTTTAATCAGCACCCACCCCGAAGATTGCTGCAATGAGACCGGCCAATTCGCAAACTCTAATGATAGGACAGCCTATGACTTTTATGTGTGAAGGCCAAGGGAAACATAAACTGGACGTTTACTGGTTGAGAGAATTGAAATATTTAAACCGTAATGAAACGATTAACAGCAGAGAAATTAAATATGACAAGGTTAAACCTGAACACGCTGGTCGTTACACATGTGTAGTCAAGAATCGAGATGGTAAAGACATGAAGACTGTTGACTTAATAGTCCTTGGTAAATTTTTGTCTATAATTCAATTCCAAATTTTCAATTTTATTACTTTTTCTTAATTTATTTGCTTTCATAGCACCTCCTGTAATGAGTGCTGAGCGCAGAGTTGTTACAACGTCAGAAAACTTTGAATCTGAACTTAAATGCATTTCTGCACCGAACAATGAAAAAATAGAGGTAAATTTTACAGTTTTAAATTTAATTTGTAAATGAATGGATGTATGAATTATTAAAATAAGGAAAACCATGTATTTTTTTTTTTTAATTATTCATTATGTGCATTCATAGATAATACATTTAATTTCTTTTCTCCATCAATAAGATATTTATGAGTACTTTATTGTTTTGATGAATTCCCCAGGTATTCCAACATTAAGTAGTTATTATTAGTAGTATTATGTCTTATTAAATATTTTAGGTAACTTGGTACAGAGATGGGCAACAAATCATTCCTAACGATAAGAACTATTTTGTCAATGTAAATGGAGATGATAAATCAGTAAAACAGTACACTTTGAGAATCATTCCAACAAAAAAGAACGACTTAGGTACATATGAATGTACAGGAGTTAATAAGTACGGAAGAAATTCTTCTGTGATAATGCTCATAGGTAAATTCATTCTATAATACCAATCAGATGAAATGTTAAATTGTAATGTTTGTTTTAAAGATGAGCCTTTGCCCCCTGTCTTATTAAGTGGAAATCCAAGTGGAGATAATGGTTATGTTTTGACTTACATGTCTGAAAGCCAAATTAAATTTCTTAATTATGAAATGGCATATAAAAGACAGCAGGTAATGTTAATAACACAAACTTCTAATTGAATCCACTAATAAATTCTGTTACTTTTATTAATTAGGATGATGATTGGATATATGAAAAAAATGCCTTAGGCAGTAATGAAAATGTTTTGGAATTTTCCCATACTTTTAAAGATCTATCACCTCATACATACGAGGCAAAGGTGCGAGTGAACAACTTAAATGGATGGTCTTTGTGGTCTGAAGTAACTCATTTTTCAGGGCGTGAGTATATTCAAATATGAGATAAATATGCAACCACAAAAGTAAGCATGGCTCCCAATAATCCACTAAGCATAATTTTTTATGATAAATTATTTTTTAAATTTGTTGCTGGGAGGTTTTAGCTTTGCTTTTTTAAGAACTAGAATTACTAAATCAGTTAATCATTACAATTCAGCACATTTTTTTATGTTTTGCTTGAATAATTTTATTTATTGATTTTTTTTTTGTATTGCACTTTTTTTACATTAATATTACAGAATCTACTATGGCCAAAGAAAAAGAAGTTGAAGTCATGCAATCTAAATTACTAGGTAAGTCAATGCACATTTATTTGTATAAATATATTATTTATACAATGCTTTTTGTTTAATAAATACAAATAACAATTATGTTAATGTTATTGACCAGCAATTTTTTTAAATTTAGGATTGGTAGTGTTTCAGTGTTGTATTCCATGCTAAGGCAATTTATCAAGTGCCAGGTTTTTGGCCAATATTTGACCTTCCTCAGAGTTAATGTTGTTATATAAATTACAACACCAGTCGTTGTTTATCCTCTGAAGAGTAAACATCGGAGCGTTATCTACTTGATCCCATCCTCCTTGTATTTCAAGAAGTGTTATATTCAGTTCATTTATATACTGCAAATAATTTTTATTTTCTCAACTCTGATCATATTACTACTTCGATTTCGTTTTATTTTATTAGCTCATCCTTCATGATGGAGGCCCCCGGCCCCATCTCAAATACTGAACCCCCAGACAAAATACCCTGTATAAATACGAAAATGAAATGGTGCCGTAAGTTTCTTGTCATGACTTTAGAACATGAAAAAATCTCTNGTCTAGTTGCCAGTGGAGGAGTATGCATACTAATTAAAAATGATATTCCTCACAAACCTTTGGACCTCACAACATATTTACAAGTGGTAGCAATCAGATTACTCTCCCCCAAACCACTTACGATCTGCACTATCTACTTTCCTCAAAAACTCTTCCTACACGACCTTGAAGACCTATTCCATCAACTTCCACCACCATTAATACTTCTAGGAGACTTCAATGCACACAACTTTCTTTGGAACGGAGATCATATTGATAAAAATGGCAAAAATCTCGAGGCCTTCATCGGCAAATATCAACTGAATATTCTAAACTCGAGAAACCCCACTCATTTTTGTGCTCGCTCAGGAAAACTCTCTATAATTGATCTCAGTATTATTAGTCCTTCACTCCAGCCTCGCTTTAACTGGTACACCTTAAACGATCTTCATGGATGTGATCACTTTCCAATCCTAATTAAATCAAACCTCCATATCCCTTTGCATTCCCCTCCAAAACGCTGGCAACTTCATAAAGCTGACTGGACGAAATATCAAAATAATGTTCATCTTAACGATCTTGATCTAAACGAATCCAATATCGATGTCCTAATCAATGATTTAAACAAGAGAATTCTGAACGCTGCCAACTCAACCATTCCGAAAACCAATCCCAACAAATATACCAAACTACCAATTCCCTGGTGGACCCCTGAATGCTCTCAAGCCATATACGAGCGCAAATGTACATTACGAAAATTCCTTCGGAATCCCTCCACATCCAACCTTCAATTATATTCTGCTGCTAAAGAAATCGCCCGACTCGTAGTCAAAAAATGTAAAAATCACTCATGGTCAAATTTTCTTTCAAAGGTCAACCGACATACGCCAATTAAGGAATTTTGGTCCACTGTCAGAAGGATTATGGGTCATGGTTCTTCCCCTCTGGTATCCGCCCTCCAAAATGGAAACAATATAACCACAGATCCTAAGATGATAGCTGAATTGCTCGCTAAAACTCAATACGAAACATCAGCATCCTCCAACTTCTCCTCTGATTTTATTTTAATTAAAACTTCAAAAGAAGCTACCCCTTTACTTTCTGATAACAATCAACATGATGACCCGCCGAATCTGCCTTTTACTTTTGATGAATTTACTCATGCACTATCTTCTAGGAAAGATACTACTCCTGGACCTGATGACCTATGCATTGGAATGATTAAAAACCTGTCACACTCCCAAAAGCTCACCATCTTAAACATTTTCAATAAAATTTTTAAAATTCAATCAGCGATATCTCTGGTAAACGAATGGCTCAACGTAAATGGCTTCAAAATATCAGAAAGAAAAACAGTCGCCATTCTCTTTGCTAAGAAGCAACCTCATCATATTCCTGTACTCAAATTAAATAACAAAAATATTCAATTCGCAGACTCCGTACGTTACCTAGGCTTAATTTTTGATAAACACTTGAATTGGAAACTTCACCTCAAAACAATAAAACAAACATGCCTTTCATCATTAAATCTATATCGTTTACTGTGTTTCACAAATTGGGGAGCTGATAGAAACAGCTTACACAAGCTTTACAAAACACTAATCCTATCCAAAATAGAATATGGCTGTATTGCCTACGGCTCTGCCAGTGAAAATACCCTAGAAATTAAACACTGTTCAAAACGCGGCGCTGAGAATGGCGATAGGTGCTTTCTGTACCAGCCCCATAAACAGCATAAATGTTGACGCGGGCGAACTACCCCTAAAATTTCGGCGACGCCTGATAGACCTTTTGTTCTTTGCCTAAGTAATTTCCCATCCTCAACATCCACTTCGTTCTCTCTTTCCCAATAATCGACCCCTTCCTAATTTTCCAAACTGGCACATCCCACGTTTTTCTTTTCCACTAAGAATTCTAATAAACCTTCAAGACTTAAAGATCGAAGTACCATGTATCCAAAAACAACAAGCATCGCCTATCCCTCCTTGGACTCTTCCATCCCCTGTACTCTTCCTGCAGCTTTCCATCTTTAACAAAGATAATACTCCCCCAATTTTATACCATCAAGAATTCTCCAAATTTTCGTCCTGTTATCCACTTGCCGATTTTATATATACCGACGGATCCAAATCCGATGAAGGTGTGGGATCGGCCGTCATCTCTCGTTCTTACAGTTTCTCACTTCCTCAAGAATGCTCCAACGTTTCTGCCGAGCTTGTTGCCATTCTTAAAGCTATCACCGTTATATCTGTCTCTCATAAAACTCTCATACTTTGTTCTGACTCACTCACAACCTTAATGTCGATCAAAAATATTTTTTCTTACAATCCGAGCATCCAAGATATCCTTTACAAACTAAAAGAACTCTCCACTCAAAGTGTTAAAGTTTTTTTCATGTGGATCCCAAGTCACATTGGCATCCAAGGGAACGAAAAAGCCGATCAGTTAGCTAAAGAATCAATTTCGTGTGTAATTCCCTATACAAAAGTTCCCTACAAGGATTTCTGCACACATATCAAAAACATCATTTGGAAAGAATGGGAGCGTGAGTGGAATAGACAACACACTACAAATAAACTTTTCCAAATTAAAAAAGAAGTTAAACATTGGCAATCCTCAATTCGAACCACTAGGAAACAACAAACTGTTCTAACCAGACTAAGGAACAAACATAAAAATACACCAATGTTCTACACCTGTCAAACACCAGTCACAATTAAACATATCCTACTGAACTGTCGACATTATGCTCCTCTCCGCACATCGCACCACTTCCCAAACAAAATATCTGAATTATTGAATGATCAATCCCCATATTTAGACGCTGTCTTTGATTTCCTGTCAGAGGCAGGCTTAATTAGTGAAATATAAATCATACTTCTAAAAAAAAAGAGACAGTAATTAGTTAATGGACAAGAGTATTTTAACATCTATTTTTGATGGCAATGCAATTAAACATTTTTAGTATATTGCAAGGTAACAGGTGTTTATATAAAAGTAGTTTAAAGTACATAATTAAATAAATAATGTAACAATAAAACAGACAGATATTAGCCCAGAGGAAGATCAAATATTGTCTGAAAGCTTGGCATTAGATAAATATCCCTTAGCTAGACTGCAACACTGGTACACTACCTATCAATAAAACATGCATTTCTGATACTTTTATAAATCGTGAGCACATTATAAATGAAATTTATTTTTTCAAACTTTGAAAAAATCCTTTTAAAACACCTAGATTTACATAAAACTATTCCTTTCCATCAATTCCACAATTCAGCCATGCTTCAAGATTGCTGTCACATTGCTTCAAATTAAGGTGCAACAATGAGTTCTCAGAAGCAAAACTGATCCAAACCGGTGCCCCATAAGCGAACATTCTTGGTTTCCTAAGTGACAGTCATTATTAATTTTGAATTCTTTGTAATAAACATTTATTTGTATTTATTACATCAAGTTTTTTCTCCAACAAACTTTTTGGTGTAAATCAATTAGATTTTTCTTTTTTCTACTTTTCATTTAAATTGCTGAAATTTTATCTTGTCGAATTACCCTTGGAACTTAGTTGAGCTTATTTTAACATGGTTCAATTTTATTACGGAATTTCAATAAGACACTGTACCTCCATAAATAAGTACATAGCTAGAAATTAGTAGGATTTTGTTTTAAAATAAAAATTGAACTTATAATTAAGCTTATCATTCGATTGAGGATTTAAAAATGATTAGTTGTTCAACAAGCATAAATATTTTTAAATATTTGATCAATTTGAGATTATTTTTAAAAGCACGTTCTGGCAATTCAACATTAGTTCATTAACAAAGATAAAACCGACTCGAATCACTTTTTGTTCACACTTTTCAATAAAATTTGGCCAACTTTTGATATGGAAACCATTGAGCATTCTTTCTTATATATGGTTCTAATCATCTTAATTTTCTTCTTCAAATCAACAATAGTTAATATGACAATTTTCGTTTGTTTTATGATAGAACTCAATACATTTTCATGTATAACTTTATTTTTTTACTCATCAAGTTGTATCGCTATAAGGCCATAGGGTTCATAAATCTTAAATATTGACAATTTTTATGCCAAATACCCCAAGAAGCATTGCCTGGTAATACAAGAATCAATAGAAGAAGCAATAGTAAATCCGGTAATTTCTTTGAAAATAGAACAAAAAGCATTTTCTCCAAAGAAATACTTGTGATAAAATTCCAATAATATTACCATCCCACTTCAAGTCCACCTGAAGCTCATATTTGTTTTTTTAACTGTTATATAAACAAAAAACAAAACAGTGTAAAAGTTGAACAACAGTCCACTGAGATGTTCACATGTTTCAAGTCATATTTGAAAGTTTGACTGGATCAGAAAAGTTGAATTGTGAGAATGTTCCCAAACTAAACCTACTGTTTGTATCAACACAATGAAAATATATTTTATTATTTCATTTAAATGCAAATGATTAAATCTTTGCTAAATCACCATTCTGGAAGCATTTGAAGATAGATAGCTCTGTTAGAGTAAGTATATACATTGTTGTAAGAGGTTATTGTTTTTAGCACCTTATCGTCCAATTGCATAGAGACTTTAATTTAGCAATAGCATGTTGAATGGATATGAAAAAAACCAAAAGATGCTTTATTCGTGTCTTGTTATTTTTATTTTTTGATCTAAAAAAAAAACTGTTTCAACCAGAATTTATTTAAAACGCACTTATGTAAATATTGAGTGCTGCTTTATGTTAGATTAGACAGAAAAACTTTTAATGTAAGCACTTTCTGGTTACCATGTTAATACGTACAAAGACTGAAACACAATGTGTTTTGTTTCTTAAGAAAGAGAAAAAATGAAAATTGGAAGGAGAGAGAAGATAAGTATGTTGTCCCTTTCACAGAATGCTGCATATACCAACACATTCATCCTTGCACACATCTTTGAATGATATTTAACATAATTCAACATAATTCCCAAATTGTAAAACATTCACTAGATATTAAAATGCAACTTTGTTTGTTTCATGTTGCATTAAAGTGTTTGTACAAGGTATTAAAACTGAATTAATTTTATATATTGAAAACTAAATAAGAACCAATGTGATTTGATAGTCTTGTACTGACACATTAAAAAGTTATAATTATACTGTTAAATTTATTACCTAATGACATGTCTAATAAAAATATGTCTTTACAGAACTCAACACCGGTCACAATCCGGCATCCTCAATAAACATAAGAAAATCTTATTTCCCTGTGGTAATCTTACTTATTTTTTTCTTCCTTAACTAAAAAAGGTAATAGCAACAATAGTTGATAGTTGAAAAAATAAATAATTTTTTTAAAAATTGTTTTAGAAACTGAAGACTATTACAGTGCTTGAAGGTTGAGGAAATTCTAAGCTCCAAAGAGCATAGATTAATGGAAGGTGAGCTTATCCTGTTTTTCCTTGTGCTTAAAATCAGCCAATAACTATTTTTCAATTATAAACATTTGTTTTTCTGTTTTTGTTTTTATTACAAAAAAAAGTCGATGATAACATGAATATTCATTTAGAATAATAAATTTCACTTGTAATGTTTTCAAACCATAAACTCAGCCTTCAAGGTGAACTTTATCGTGATAAAAAAATTAATTAATTAAAAAAACAAGAAAAACAGAGGCATGCCAAAAAAAAAAAAAAACTCGATCCATTAAATTGAAATTTCTAGTGATGAAGTTGTCAATTGGCAAAATATTTTAAGCTTCTTAATATTACTCCTTAATTGAGGAAACTAGTCGTTTTTATTTTTGATCAGTAAATAATGGCTGAAGTAAAGATCAACTTATAATAGTGCATTAATTTATTTATATTGGCAACTCTATCACTATAAATATAAAAACCAAGAGCAAATGTTTTATTACCTTTTAAAATTTAAAACATGGTGTATTTAATGACAAGCAGTTTCAAAATCCATAAGTCAGAGCTAGTTATTATAAAGTTTATTGTAAAATTGTATTTAAATATGTAATTATGGAATTGTAAAAAAAAAGTATAATGTTATAATTAAGGAATAATTTTCATAGCATTTAAAATATGCACATTTCCTCTTTTATAAAGTTTATTTGAACTTATTTCTTCTTTTTTATTATTATTAATTTTTTTTAAATTAAATGTCCAGCGAACATACTAAGTGAAAACTTAGAAGATTGATTTTATTACAAAATTAATTTTTTGTAAAAAAATTCTCATTGCTAAGATGTAGTTATATCTAGAGCAATTGAGCAATACCAAAGTATTTGTTTTGTACAGAATATTGTTGTGAATATCAAATTAAATCAGATGTAATAGTAATTACTTTAAGTACCTATATTTATAGGTTAATTTTATTATTATATGAAATTAATTGTATGATTGGTAATTATGGTTTTAAACCATTGTATAAAACGTTATTTTATTTAATTTTTTTATATGTGTATGATGGTATTTAATTTGTCTTTAATCAATACATAGTTTTTATCTTGGAAGCTTTTAGACGAAATATGAACAATTGCAATTTTACGTGTTTACTGACAATTTATAGCAATCCACCCAGAGCTTATTGAAACAAAAAGTGTCTTAAAATGGAATCTTAAATGTATAACATTTGTAATTATGATAAGAGCATACGAGCTTACGCAGCTTCTGGCAAACTCATGTGCCTTCAAATAACAATTTTCTACTTTTGAGAGCGTCTCAAGCTCTTAAGGGTCCAGTTTTGATACAAAGCTTATATTTTTTTTGACTATCAACAATATGTGTTCATAAACTAAATTTAAACAATGGTATTCAAAGAAGCCTTAATAAAACTTGAAATTTATAAATTTATAGATAATAAAACCTTTTTTTACGTTTTCATTTTTGTGCTATTTACTGTAAATATAAACTTTTATTTTGCAAAAAAAATGGATAGGATAAAAATGTGAAAGGTAATGTTAAATTGTATGGAAGTTATTAACTATTTAGTATGTAATAGAATAAAACATTGAGCAACATAATATATTTATTTCTTTACCTTTTTTTACTCTCACTGATTTATTTATTTCTCATTTACTTGATAGTAAATTACTTGCCCATGGTACAGAAAGAAAAATTTTGCAACAATTTCCTCAAATAACATTGATAAACAAGACACATTAAAGCACGAGAGGAATCTCTCCAATTTTCTTGTAATGCGCAAGACATGATTAGACCGCTGGTCATTTATGGAGCTCTAGTATGGTGGACAAAAACCTTATAAAATAAGGCACAAGGTCAATTTAAGAAAGTACAAAGATTGCTATATCTTAGCATTACATCTGATCTATTTCTACAATTTTAGCATAAATACAACCAGAGGATGGCATACAAAAGTGCCTACATACTCTTAGGATAAAATTAAATAAAACCAGACCTAAGAGAAGCCATCATAAAAGTGCAAAAAATAGAGATAGCTACAAAAAGAAATCAAAAAAAATTTTTTTACAAGCCCCCCAACACACGAGTAATTAGAAAAAAAATGGGTTAAAATACAACAAAATAATTTATTTCAAAAATAAAGTGGTTATATTTTTAATTTCAACAAGAACAACAATGTATATTTTCAGGTTTAAAAATTAATTATTATGTAATATTATACCATAAATAGGTATTAGATGTGGCCAATCAAGATGTTTTTTAAAACTGAATTTTACACCTCTATGTGCTAAGACACAATCATCCAGATCTACACATTCATATTGCCCTGTCACGGGTTGATTAAAATAAAATCCAAGTTGGTACTCCCTGGTAGTAATCCCTTTTTTAGACTAACAGGAGATTTGATCTGAACCAGGCTTGAACACTCAATATCCTCTTTGAAAATGGTCTTGCTTATAGTTTTAAGATTTGCCACATCAAAAAGTCTCACTTCAAAATCCTCGAGATAAGATTCTTCCTTACAAGGGTCTGATATTTTTTGTCCTTTTACCTAAAATACAAAATGCATTAATAAAACGTACATGTAAAAAAGTACGTAAAAAAAACTTTTAAAAAATGTACATGCCATTACACCATTCAGCTGTATGTTTTCACTGGATTCGATATTTATCAGACTTTCGTGTATTTCATGTGAGCATATGCTACAGAGTTTGTCCTACATGAAATACATGCCATCATCAAGCCTCGGCTGAAAACTGACTCGTTTCGACAAACAAAATCCATCAGGCATTGGAAAAGAAGTATTGTTCGTTGATATGTTGAGAAGTATGGCCAACATCTGTTCCTTTGAAAGCATCCTGCTTTTCTGCAGGACCTTCAGAAAACTCCTGAGATGTCATGCTGAGAAAGCAAAGTTTAGGCATTATTTCATTGTACAATTCTTGTTTTTCAGTACTGTCTTGACTTTCGGTCAATCCTAAAATGTAAGTAAAATTATTTTATTTGATGTGTCAGAATAAAAAATTAATATTTTAATACCTCGTCTTTCTAATTCTTCCTTAATCCAAAATTCAATTGATTTGAACAATGTAATTTCAGATATGTTGAGCATGTTTTGCTCCAATATCATCAATAGCGTCGTTAATTGTATTTTTGGGAAGAATGAGTTTGTAATAACTTCAGATGTCTTTTCCTGCATTACCTAGAACATCAATAAACAATAATCAATTTAATAACGCTTAAAAGCTAATTTTCATTTTAAATAAGTCAACACACTGATTTGCATGACTCGATTAAATCTATGAGATCATGAGTTTTGGCAAATTCGTATGCCATGCAGGCAGTGTTGCCATTTACGTTTTCCCTTATATATTTTTCACACAATTGCTTTAAGTGCACTATGCGGTATTTATCTGCAAGTTTAAAAAGCTCACAAGCCTGCTCAAATGATTGCCAGTTGACCCTTTCAAGATAGATATAACTGAAACAAAATGTCAATTTTAAGTCATTATTATTTAGCTCTAACAACTTGTAAACTTTTATATGAAGTTGTATATAATAATAATATTATTATAAGGGTTGAAATGTTTACCAAAAAAAAGTCTGAAAGTTTAAACAAAATTTACATTCCATATTTACCTTTAAAAATTGTTTTATTTAATCATTCGAATGGGGGAAAAACATAAAATGAATAAAGTAAAAAATAATAAACAAACCAATTAAAAGTGTAAAAAATGAAAATATTAGTCTTAATAATAAAAGCAAAAATATGACAGAAAAAATTTAATAAATAATAATTATAATAAATAAATAATGTTGATTTTAGCAAGTTACCTTTCTACCTATTATATAAAATATATAATAATATATATACACTTTGATCTTAGCCAAAAGTCTGCTTTAAAGCCCATATTTCTTATTCCATTTTCACGTGGGGACATGTATCATCAGTAGACTTTTGTTACCCCCCCAAAAAAAAAAAGTCAGAATAATAACAAAACTAAAATATAGAGATGACTGCAGCATATTGATTTAAAAATGACAATCCTCCCTTGTATTTATATTCTTAATTGCATCCCATGTGTTGTAAATAACATGGTAAATTTAGAAGCATAAATATCCTACATGATCATAAAACTAGATCTCAAAATAAACATGTCACCTATAACAGTCTGAAAGTCCCAGAAAGTAGCAAAATTAGGATAGTGAAATATTATATCTTATTTTTAAATTTGACTATTAATGTACCATAGGCACAACAACACCATAATAAAAAATAATATCGAATAATTAATAATCATGTACACTTAACACTTAAAACTGATTTGAGATAAAATTGGATACATATAAAAATCATGAACAAAATTTGATAGTTGAAGTATAAACAATAACTATGAACGCAGAAAGAAATTACATACTGATTCAATTGAAATAAGATAAATAAATCTATACCGATTGTTTTTACCCAGGCACTCTCAACACGACACGCAAGAATGGCACAATTACACAGAAGACAAACACTTTGAGCCCTGAAGATGATCTCAATAAAGATCGAAACGTTGGCACGAAAAAGAAAATGTTTTTCTGAAACCTACATCACACCAGACCGCATCTCATGATTTCTGAATAATTATCGATTAACGGTCACTAATCACCACACGTTTTTACAATTGCGAAAATTTTAAAAATTTTCAAACAAATTTTTTACCGTGAGATTTCTCCATGTGGTTTTGTGGTAATTTGGTTGTTATCAATTATTTTGGTATTCCTGTCCATGCTGGTTATGGTGACATGTTCCAACATTTCTCAGACCCAACACTGACGATAACGAAATGATCGGTAATGTTCGAATTACAAATATTTTACTATTAAAAATATGCAAACAAATAATAAGAGGTACTCCGAATATTAAATTAATATTCTTTGCCTGTGTTTGTTGATTTGTTCTAAAAATATTTAATTTTCAACCATGATATTTGTAATGCATAGCTAAAGCCGAAAAGTAAGTCATGCATCCCATAACATGCATTTTATCCATTCTTAAGAAACTTACTCTAAAAACGATTCAAACACTTGAGGATTCACACCCAAAACTTCAATAGTTTTTTTACTGTGTTTCGCCTGCTGTTTTCCAATTATTTTCTCCAAAACTGGGCTTGCCATTGCTAAGAAGAGCGAATGAGCTTTGAAATCCTAAAATTGTTTCATCAAAATCAATTGATTCTTATCACATATCACTTTCTACCTTGGACATTGTCCCATTTTTAACGGTTAAAACAATGTTGCTTAGAACGCCTGACAGATAGATATATTGGATTTTTTCTACTAGGAGTCTATGTTCTTCCCTCCAGTCTGCATGAGGTGACATAACGGCTTGCTTTTGTGTTAAATAATATCTAAAATAATAAACAATTAGAAATTATTAATAATTAAATGTAAAACATAAAAGGGTAATTTATAAAATGCATTCTATATGCATACTATAAGAACGACCACTAACTTTTTTAACCTACTATCAAAACAAACTATTTTACTAGTATTTACATTGCTAAATGTAAAGTTAAATGAACTTTGAGAAATATTTTTTCCCATTTCAGATTAATTAATCATGATAAAAATATGCCAAAAATTCAGAATACTTTCAATCTAAAGTTACAATAGTTTAGCTCTTAGTACGCAGAGACAGTATATATAAATTTTATCTCTAAAATTAGATTTAGCATCCTGTTTTTATATATGAAATAATTACTTGTTACACAATTAAAAAATTACATGTCATTGAGTTGTCTTTACAGATTATTAATAATCCACAACTGTATCAATATATGCAAGGAGCAGATAGGTTACTTGGAAAAAAAAAAGTGGTATGTTAAGCATGTATGTGAACCACCCATCATGACCAACATTAGGTAATACCGTTGACTGCTTATGATGCATATGTAATCAGCAGATGTCTTTATGTGCACAGTCAGTCACAAGGCCTGCGAGGCTTTAATCTTCTAGGGGCATTATTTGGGAGGGTAAGAACGGAAAGGTCTTGGATGAGAGAGTTGGAAATGAAGAGACAATTTGGAGTGGAATTTGAGATATCACAATTTGGTTTGGTCTGTAACATAAGAAATTCTGAGATCTGAGTTCAGAGTATGGTTACTAACAAAGAAAACAGCATCGAAGATTATGAGGAGGTGTTTAGACTGGAGGGATTGATTCCTGTTAATGTTTGATTTTTTTAGCTGCACTGAACAGTTCTAACATGTAGGTCTTTAGAAGAAGTGTGTAAAGAATTTTTTTTTTTTTTTTTTTTTATACAACAATACAACAATCATACAAAAACTTATTCAAACATTAACAAAAGCAGTAGAAAGCAAGAGGACGGTGTTAGTATTTAAAAATGTTACAATTATTTTTGTTGCATAAAAATTTACATTTACATATTACTTAACATATTACTAAGTGTAAATAAATTACTTTTAAATTGTTATTAAGTGCAACAATTTACATGTTAAATTCAATATATTTTTGAACATTTGAAGAAATACACAAATTTGTATAACAAATAAGTGGCATTTTAATTTTATTTTTTAAGTTTCATCATTAAAATTTCAAGTTTAGCAGTAGATGCCTATGTACTTCTTGCAATGAAGTCAGTGAAGTAGTGAACTTGTAACTTCACGATCTCCGATCATCCTGGCTGCCTATTCTTGCTTGTCTGGCAGACAAAACCATGGTGGATATAATGAAACAGAGTGGAAGTTGATCAAGCTAAAAGTTCTTAGAGTTGTTAACAATTCAATTGATAGAACCACCAGTCCATGGCAGGCAATCTCAGATTAACATGCCATGAGAACTAAAGACGAGGCACTAAGTATTATTATATTTACAATATAATTCAATATGTTTCAAAAATCATTTTCGATTTTTTTATTTCTTCAAGCAATCATTAATAATGTATGCATAAGACCAATCAATCTACTAATAAAAATATTTTATAATCAGCAGACAGCTATATGGGTTAAAAACCAACAAAACCTATCGCTAAGCTACACGACCAAAGGATAGACTTACAAGAGAACACCATGCATCTACTCTATATAATAAATATGAAAAAAGCTAAAATATTTAATTACAATTGACTTATATATCTTTACAAGAAGAAAATAAGAAAGCACTAAGTTGAAATTATTCAGATTAAATTAATAAAAGTAAAGACTAAAAGAAAAGTTATATTTTTGATGAGAAATAAGACGGTTAACTAAAGAGAAGGTTCTATGACTGTCATCAATCATCATGCAATGGCATTTGGGTTATTTCGGATCCATATAGTGCTATTGGGCGTGTGAAAACGGTTAGAAATCATATAGCAAGTAATGCAGTTAGTTTTTTTTTTCAGCTTGAAATAAAATCGATTTGAAATATTTTGTAACAAGCAAGATTGACTAAGTGTCGATCGATATCGCGCATTCGTCTAGTACATGCTATGGTCGGTCCTTGTTGGTCTTCAGGCTTTTTTTTTTTTAATACCAATTATTGCTACAGTGTTTTGCATGGTTTAAAAGATGAATGTGAACTGTTGTTAATTTGTATATTTCGTTCGTATTTATATATAGGTTCATCACTTATCAGATCACAATAGTTAATCTCCCGATGCACCAGCATGTTCAATGAAGCAGGATGGAATTAGAAATTTTGGCTACTCTGAGCGATTTGCAATAGACCGTTGGTAATTGAGCAACGGAATATGTCAAATTTATAATTTTAAGTGAGAGACTCTCGGCTCGTAGATCCAGCGGTTGTGGTTTCGATTCCCACTGCCGCCCTTGGAACCCTTCTCCCCTCAAAAAATCTCATATCTCGTCTCTGAATAATATGCATAAACATAAGGCCGGAATAAAGTGACACATCCTTGGATTCAATAAATGATTATGATAATCATGGTTTTTAGCCTGATTAAACAAGGAAAATCATTTTAACTCAACATCACACCAGACCGCATCTCACAATTTCTGAATAATTTAAACTCAAGTCGAACAGAAGATTTTACTTTTTTAATTAAAATTGAAAATAATAAAAATAATTACATACTGTATAATTTAGATATCAATGTTTAAATACAAAAAGAATATTTGGGATTTGACTAGTAAATAAAAATAATTGCAAATAAGATGAATTAAATATACATACATTTATAAACACAACAATAATCAACCAGCACATCCGGCAAACATACACATATATATTCACATATGTACACATACATCAGATGTACTAATTGACCGTTGTACAGGTTCCTCTTAAATTCCTCTTCAAGCTGGCTTTAGATGTACTATTTTTATTAATATGTACACTGTTGGGTAGTATATTGACCAGATCCATCATCCAGAATAAAGGGGAATGAGAAGTATAGTAAGGACGGAAAAATGGATTGAAATGTTATTAATATTATAATTAATATTATAATTAATATTATATTATTCGGAAATCGTGAGATGCGGTCTGGTGTGATGTAGGTTTCAGAAAAACATTTTCTTTATCGTGCCAATGTTTCGATTTTTATTGAGATCATCTTCAGAGCCTGGGATTTACAAACATTGTTTAAATTTAACAAATACACGTAGGATGTGGGAAAAAGTGAATTTATACAATGCAAAAAATATTTTTTATATTCAATCAAAGTATTTCTACTCACTCACAGTATTTGTTTTCTGTGTAAATGTGCCATTCTTGCGTGTCGTGTTGAGAATGGCAGCGAGATATTGCTGTTTTATGTTTATATACGTTGGATTTTGGAGGGGTGGGGAAGGATGTCGGTATAGAAAGACATTTTTGTATAAGGAGTCGGCTTGTTTGAGGTAAAAGGAGCCGACGAAGAGAAAAAACGATGGTATTGGTGCAGCCAGATTATCCTTTCAGGATTATATATATAGACGAGGATAAATAGGACAAGGAAAGCTAAATTGTTGAAAAATTAGACTACATAAAATTTTTGATGTGTGGAATGTGATGAATGTTTTATATGTTATTATATGTGTTTTGTGTGATGTGATGATATTATGTATGTTATCGATATTGAATTTGAATAATGATATTGGCGTATATAAACATAAACAGCAATATCTCACTGGCACTCTCAACACGACTCGCAAGAATGGCACAATTACGCAGAAAACAAACACTTTGCGTGAGTAGAATACTTTGATTGAATATTTAAAAAAAAATATATTTTGCATTGTATAAATTCACTTTTTTCCACATCCTACATGTATTTGTTAAATTTAAACAATGTTTGTAAATCCCAGGTCCTGAAGATGATCTCAATAAAGATCCAAACGTTGTCACTATAAAGAAAATGTTTTTCTGAAACCTATATCACACCAGACCGCATCTCACGATTTCTGAATAATTCTAAATTTTATTAATATGATAATCCCATACTAATCGGGAGAGGAGAATTAAAACAAAAAATTTCAAATTATTCAGTGTTCCTTCTGTCTGTTTATTTGGAGTAGTGCGCTTCTAAAAAAGCCTATCCCCTCTTGGAGAAGTGTATGTATATCTGAAGTGCTCATCAGATTCCATCTGGCGATCGGCTCCGGCAAAGGAAAGCTATCTCTGGCTCTAAACCGACTTGATTTAAAAAATTAAAAGCTATCTTAGCGTGAACGCTTATTAAGTGGGCTCTCACACAAAAATGAAATTCCAGCACAAAACCTTAGATAAAAATACGCATGACTTTCATTAAATGCTAAAAATAAGTTTGGGGCCAATTCTTCCTAACCTATTTCAACATAAATGTTTCATATTTGTGCCAGTTTTTATTACTTTTTGTCCATCATTTTGCCATAATTGAACTTTTATGCCTTCAGAGGGCAAAATCCAGACCTACGATTTTGACAAAATTTGAACGGTACATTAATACCAAATTGTACAATAATTAGGCAGTTTCATAAATTCTGACTGATCAGCTAGAAAAAATTTATGTAAACTTTATGGGAGTTTTTTCTGGAAACTAAACACGATAGCCTGGATATTTTGGAATTTAAACAAACGATTTGAACCCAATTTTGACCATAAATCAAGGTCCATAATTACACTGTCTTCAACGTGTTAAATTTCATTTTTTTAATTTTTAAACAGTTTGTGTAACTCATACTTCACTTTCACGCTAGTGAATACAATCACTGTCAATATACACAAAAGGGAATACAAACTACGTACAACAAAACAACCCTGTTTCCTACAAAATGGTAAAAGGGGACACAAATACTCCCTACTTTCCCTTAATGCCGGACACATACGCGGGTTTTAGTCGAAATGCCAGTGTCCGAGTGTCAACCTCCCATGGCCTATTCTTAATCGGGCGAAGACTATCCCTTTCTTACGATTGAGACCCTCCGTGGAATACATTGTATAAAATACCTTAAAAGCTTACTAAATAAAAATTCAGAGCATACACTAAATTTAGATGAAATAATGAAACATAATTAAAGGTTTTATTGAAATCGTAGTAATAGAAATCTGTCTTGAAAAATTACACTAACTACTACTAAAATCATACTAAACAATTATTATAAACAAAAATGGACAAAATATTTGGTTGTACATCTTAATTTTAATTGGCTAATTATGAATAAAGCACATTCCTTTAAGTGTACAGAACGAATAAATTCATATGTGGACATTTAAGATTCTGAAGTAGAACTTTCAAACAAGACAGCCTTCAAATTTTAGACGTTAAGTGTGATGTTCAACGAGGCGTTAAATATTCACACAAAAGCTAAAATAAAGTTAATGTCTTCCCTTTCTCCTGCAATTTTGAAACCAAGTGGGTTCACTGGCCGGCCAACTCCGACCTAGTCGAAAATAGAAAAAACAATTTTGAAAATGGAACCTCGCCGAATCGACGTCTTGTTTAAACAATTGCAAAACTAGCGGGCCCCACTTTATTTAGGCTTTGGTAAACATTTGTGTTTTTATTTTAGACATATATCTCAATACGGAACGAAAATTATGGCACGAACATTTTTAAAGGGAGCTTTTAACATTGTGGGTGCATGTTTGAAACGTATTTTAAAAAACGTTTTACATTCATCTTGTTCTAGCTGAACTAATTATTCTTCTCTGTTTAAATTCAGAAAAGGCAACAGTTAACTGGATCCGAATTCGTAAGAAAGATTAATTAGTAAGAAGCTGCCCTAAGACTAGGGTGGCACTACTGTACATCCAAAATAGTACGATTGTTTTTAAGTACAAAAGAAGCCGCTGTTCGAGTTATTATATACTTTTTCAGGTTAAATTGTAATTGTAGGTCTAATTGTAAATTGAAATTTTAATAGAAAATTATGAGCCTAACCAACGCACTTCTCCACAGGAAAAATGTATTATAATATTAAGGTAAGTGAAATGCTACTTTTTTTTTTACTTTTATCCACTGATTAAGTACTAGTAACGTTTCGATAAGGTGTTTTATTAATGTTGTATCACGATTTCATATGTACTTAATAAATTTTATCTGATTTCAACTGCTTCAAAGCTTAATCAAAACTAAATGCTCGGTTTGTCATATGCCACACTTCTTTTCTTAGAGTTGTGATATGACAGATTTTTGAACACTACCTGTTTATCCAGAATCTGTCAGGCTAAATTTGGTTAATCTTTTTCTCTTTCATTAATTTCGCACTGACATTTGAAATTACTGAAATTTATTTATTATTTTTTTATACAATTGCATTACAACATTTACGTGATATTTTTGAAGTCAAACATTTGGTTGAAAATGTGTAAAATAGTTGCTCGCACTTGGATTTTCTCAAGGTTCACTGATTATGGGTGGCTGCTTATGTTCACTAGATGACGTGGTTTTCTATACTTTTTCAAATTAAATTGTAATCGCAAGCCTAATTGTAAATTGAAGTTTTAATAGAAAATTATGAGCCTAAGAGAAAAAGTAATATCATAGCACCTGAGAAAGGCAAAATATAAAATTTCTTCCGCTAAAATCTTGTACCTAGTATTTCCTCTTTGTCGTGTGAGTGTGCATTTGTGTAAAGTTCGTTCAAACGGTCTTTCAGACTTGGCTGGTTCTCGTGTTTTTCCCCCTTTCTTATTGAAGGAACTGGAGGATCACATTAAAACGCCGTTTTGTACCGTGAAGTTAGATTTTTCGTCTTCTGGAAAATTTCGCTATAATTTTTTTTGTACGTTTTGAATATCTGTTTTTTTTTTATAACTATTATGATTCAATGAGGTCAAAGTAAATAATCAAACGACAACCGTAAAATCACAGAATAAATTATTTTAACATATCATTTTATCATATTGTCATATTTATGATGGTCCGCAATTTCACAGTTTAATTAATGATTCTATTTTTATGTGACATAGTGAAATCTTTCTACGATACATCCTATATGTCTGAAGATATCACATCAATGAAGAAAAAATGGTAGAAAAAATCGACATATTGGGTTGTCCGGAAAATAATGCAGGATTTTGGTATTAAACAAAAAAAAAGAAACTAGTTACTTTAAAGCAATGTTCTTTAATCAAAATAATTTCCCATACTATCAATACATTTCTCCCAACGTGTTGGTAACTTATTAATTCCGTCTGAGTAGAATTCAGAATTTTTAGAATTGATAAAGTCAATAAATGCATTTTCCAGTTCCGTTTGATTTTTGAATATTATGTGTTGTAAGTAGTGGTCCAGGTGTCTAAAAAAATGGTAGTCAGTAGGCGAGAGGTCCGGAGAGTAGGGTGGGTGAGGCAAAGTTTCATAGCCAAGCTCCAATAATTTTTGTGACGTTACACGTGACACATGTGGTCGAGCGTTGTCATGCAACAAAATGGGCCCTTTCCGATTGACCAAAGAGGGCTTCATTACTTCCAATTTCTGATGCATGGTATTAATTTGGTTACAGTATGATTCAGCATTGATGGTTTCGCCAGGATTTAAGAAGCTGTAGTGTATTAAACCAAATGAAGCCCACCATACCGTAACCATTACCTTTTTTTGATGAGTTGGGGGCTTTGGAAAATGTATTGGAGCTTCTCCTTTGTCGAGCCACTGTCCAGAACGTCTAGTGTTATCGTAGAGAATCCACTTTTCGTCACATGTAACAATTCTGGCCAGAAATGGGTCATTTTTGTTTCGACAAAGAAGTGATGCACAAACATCAAAGCGCTGATTTTTTTGGCGATCGTTTAATGAGTGTGGAACCCAATTTTCGAGTTTTTTCACTTTTCCAATCGCCTTGAGGTGGTCAGCGACGGTCGTTTTACTGACTTTGAGTTGCTCTGCAAGTTCTCGAACAGTTGTTTTGGGGTTTTCTTCCACCACTGATCGCAGAACATCATCATTAAGAGAGGAAGGCCTTCCACGACCTTCTTCATCATCAAGGCTGAAATCTCCCTCCCGAAATTTTTTAAACCACCTTTGCACAGTGCACTCATTAACACAACCCTCGCCCCAGACTTGGTTAATGTTTCTAGCCGTTTGGGCTCCGCTTCGGCCGAGTTTAAACTCGTAAAAGAAAATCGTACGAAATTCTCGCTTTGACATTATAAGGATGACTGAATTATTTCCAAGTAGCGGAATGCTACAGAGGTAAACAAACAATATCATTTGGAAGAGGATTAATAAGTGTTGACATTCATACAAATGAGTAATCCTGTAAACGTAAACAGAATATTTTATATAGATTTTTTTTAATGAAAACTTAAAATCCTGCATTATTTTCCGGACAACCCGATATATAGAAAAAATCAATAATGACGTATGAATAGTGGAATAATGTCACTTTCTATTTGAATTTCGGAAAAGGCAAATTTCTTTGCGCGACTACCATTTTAATAGGCTTCTATTGTAATAAGTTCGTTAGACTGTACATTGCTCAAAAAAAAAAAAAAAAATAAAATAAAATAAATAAATAAAAAAAATAAAAATAAAAAAATAAAATAAATAAATCAATCTTATCGAGTAAAGTTATGAAGTTTTTGTGGTATTATCTATTTTCCGTAGACCCAATATAAATATATATATAACAGTGCTGGCGTGTGTGTGTGTGTATCTAGAGGAATAATTGATACAATGAAATCACATTTAAAAATATTTTTCCAAAAATTATAGACGACAATTACGTGATTTTTGTGTTTTATCCTTCGATATGTAATGTGTTACAAATTTCCGTTTTCAATTATTACAATTAGTGAATTATTTTTTGCTCTGAGAAATTTTATGGCTATTCTACTTATTAATCGTTATTAATTTCTTTCTAAATAATACTATATTCGGTAATAGTTAATAGGCCGAGTACAAAATTTTACGTACATAGCATGTTCTCTGGAGGGTCATAGATATGTGCTTCGAATAGCAATTTTGCGCAAAGCTATTCCATTATTTCATTAATAATTAAATTAATTGGCAAAGTGATCAAAAAATGCCATGAAAACTAAAAGTTTAATTCTTGAATTATCAAAATCATCGGACAACGTTAGAGAAGAAGAGCCGCACAGTCTCTTTCTCATGGGCGCACACGGGCACAGCGGAAATGAGATCGCTGACCAAATGGCTAAAGCTGTTTCCCAAAACGAAGACTTGCAATTTGCATATTCAAAGGTCCCTCTATCTGCAGGTAAGAGATGGCTCGCAGCTTGGCTAGATGGGAAGAAATTTGGAGTAACTCTATCCAGCGACGACTGACCAGGCAGTTCTTCCATCGGTCTCATGCTGCTTACTGAAGGACTACAGGCTTACTCAAATCCTCACAGGACATGGAAAATTGGCGGAGTATCTTTTTATGTATTTAATATTATCCCCAACCCAGCTTGTTCTTGTATCGGGCGCCTCCTCAAACCTTCTTCTGGAGCGACGGCTGCCAGGCTTCCGTTGTTGAAATAAATGGTGACTACGGGCTTATGTTGGCCGCCCCCAACAAAGTCATGCTTTTTGGAGACCGAAGTGCTACCGTATTTTATGAAGTTTATGTCGGGAATAATGGCGATCATGAATAATTAATACATAATTGTATTTCATGTCGGGTTGAGATGGGAAGTTAGTGTCCGAGTGGATCGAGGTCACGATAGCTCAAGTGGTAGAGCAGCGGCGTATCTAGCCGAAGATCGTGGGTTCGAATCCCGCTCGTGCCATTGACTTTTTTATCTCTACTAAAAACCTTAATTAATTGCCCCAACGGTTTAGGCGTTGACACGGCGCTCATCACTGTAACGAAAAGGTCCTGGGTTCGAATCCAGCGGCCCTTCATTGGAAGTATGTACTTACAAAAAGGGTTTTTTCAAAAACACCGGCACCCTGAGGGTTTATGTGACCTCTGCTGTTGCGAACCTTCGTAAAATAGAAAAAAATACTGAAGAGATTAAACATAAAAACAAATTAAGTAATTTCATTGTGTTAATCTTTATTAGGAGTTAATATAATATTGAGCGAAAAAAAGCCGTATTATTACTTTATTTTTATATTGTAAATATGCTTTGTAATTTTTAATTATGTTATTGTTATTACGTTTAATTCATGTAATACCTAATGTAGTGGGGCATAAAGTATAAAAAAATGTGTATTCCTTAAGTACAAGTAGGTAGGTGGCCGACATACCACATACCACTGAAAAATTTACTGACTTGTTATTATTTCTTGGTAATTTTTTAGTTTGGTTTATATTATTAGTCAAGTAGGAATATTTAAAGTTGATTCCAGAAAGGTTTATGGCTAATCAAAAAGTGTAAGATAAAAGATTATTTGCTCTGACTGTCTATAAATATGGAAAAAATCTGCTGAAAATAAAGAATTTGCGTATATTAAGACAGTATAATTTTGTTACTATTACTTATTAATATTGTCTAACAGTTTAAAATAATGAGTCTATACATGTAAAGTTGCCATGACACTTTAGGATTCAATCATAGTGGCAGTGAAAAAGTATAGTCTGATAAGTAATTAACATCGACGTTATTAATTTACAAAATGCCCAAATGTCAAAAAAATTAAACATGATTTTTAGGTTTTGATAGTGATACAAAAATGCTTGTGTAGGTACATCAAGAATAACAATAACGAGTTACTTGACAGCAAAGGGCTATATAAATCTTATAAAGTCGTTCTAAATCTTTTTTTCATTTCGTCTTTTACATATTCTTGTATGGTAATTATGTTTTATGTTGACAACAATTGACTGTCAGACGATATTGGTGTAGCAGTCAACATTCTGAAGACGCGAACGTTGGAGGGGATCGACCCCGAGGGTGCTGACGAGGATGGTGGGGGTGGCGGCGAGGTTCAGTCCTCAGAGCGTAACCAGCCGCGGTCGGACCTGCTTCGTGTGTGCCTCTGTTCAGAGACGAGTGACGTGTTTTTTTCTCCCTCGAGGAAAAGTGTACGTATGTAATGACGCCCGGGCTATGACCCGAGAGAAGATGAAGCCCAAATACGAATTAGAGGACTACATCTACGACGTCGAGTCTCGCTCCTTGGAGCCTTCAGCCGACCCGGAAGATGTTTACGCACAGCTACTTCAAAAAGACAAAGACCTGATCTTGGCGGCCGAACTCGGCAAGGCCCTCTTGGAGAAGAACGAAGAGTTGAGTCGTGCCAACGAAAAGCTCGCAGAGGACTATTCTCAAAAATTAGAGGTATGCTTGAGTTCAAGTTAAACCTTACGTCAGTTGCATTCGTGGGTATCTCGTTTTGCTTGTTGTTATTGTTTTTATTTTGGTTTCCACCGTCGGTTCAATACAACACAAGAGTATGCATAATGAAACTTAACTAATGAAATGTATTCATAAATAAATAAGCCTACAACAGTTTATTTACCAATGGTTAATTGACAATTATCTATGTACAATGATTCATACACTGCATACATGTCTAAAATAATCTAAACATTTTATGGATATATATATTTTTATCAGGATGTTGTACACTTAAACGCTTAACAAAAGTAAAATTTAAAATATTTTAGAAAATAAGCACCATTTTAGGTATAGCAGCAGTGTTCATAAAGTCGATGAAAGTAAACATAATTTGAGTCCTGCATTGTTTTAAATTTAGGTGAAATTTAATGAATTGTTTAAAAATTGTTACGGGTTGTCTAATAACGTAAAATATATAGATAAAACCTTGCAAGATACATATATAGGCCTTTAAGCGCGAAAATTCCAATTTAAATTTCATAAAACCTTAACAAAAAGACGAAAAAAAAACAATAACTAAGAAGACTGTAAAATATATTTTTTTTAAAATAGATGATGGGTGGAATGGATGGACCATTTGCAAGATACATGTCAGTCTGTATAGGCTTTAAGCGCGAGAAATTCCAATTTAACTTTCATAAAACCGTAACAAAAAGACAACAAAAAAACTGGAAAATATATTTTTTTTTAATTGATGCTGGATGGAATGGATGGACCATTCCACTTATACCAATTTACGAAACTTGTAATTCATTACCATTCTGTGTGGGCGATTGACCGTTTTTGTTTTTGGTATAGGACTGTAGATAAACACAAAAGTGGAACGCTTAAATCGCTGTAGGTGTTGATGTGTCACCGTTTAAGTGGATTGTACGTTTTGAAGGTGTACATCAAAAAACAAACTTTTTTTTTTCCTCCTCCGTTTATATTTTGTTTATCATTTACTGGCTTGTTTAGAATGCATTATCATCGTCACTACTTATGTCAGACAACATTTCTTCACTTATGCCATAATTATTTACATTTTTTTATTTATTATAGCACAAATCTTTTATTATTATATTTGTACAATGATAGTATCAACCATTTTAGACATAATAACGTGTGTAATATTTACAGTGCAGCACTTCATGTTGGAGGATACTCATTTAAACATAGCCATGATAACTTCAGGCTGATTTTCTTATTGTATTCGTTATATGTAAGTGTGAATTAAAAACAAAGGACAACAAAAACATTATATATATATNGGGTCCAGATAGAGGGGAGAGACAGAGTTCCCGCCATGTAGGGCCTCCGTTGACGTAGTGGCGGTGAACATCCTACATATATATATATATAAATACGGTAATGACTTATGACACTAGTGCTGACAGGTAATCTGACTATCTGACCAACAAAAGTAGGCTACGGGCCACCGATTTCAATGAAACTTTTTTTAGTGATACTAGTTTGAACGATATGTCTGTCCCAGGGTTCCGTCCAATGGACCCCGGTAGCACACAGAAAGTATATTAAGTGTAAAAATGACCAAAAATGAAAGTATAAGGGATGTTAGTATATATATCAATTAATAGTGCAATTAGCCCCAGGAAGCCAGTAATAAAATGTCAAATATTGTGGTGTATGATTATTTGGAGATCGAGAGGTGCGGTCTGGTGTGACGTAAGTTTCAGAAAAACATTTTCTTTATCGTTCCAATATTTCGATCTTTATTGAGATCATCTTCAGGGCCTGGGATTTATAATTGTTTAAATTTTGCAAATACATGTAAGATGTGAAAAAAGAATGAATTTATACAATGCTAGAAAATTTTAGATAAAAAAAATGAATTTATACAATGCTGGAAAATTTTCTAGCAAAATTTCTAGAAAATTCTCAACACGACACACAAGAATGACATCTACACGGAAAAAAAACCACTTTAAGTAAGTACAAATACTTTGATTGAATCAAAATTTTCTAGCATTGTATGAATTCATATTTTTTTAATCTAAAATTTGCTAGCATTGTATAAATTCATTCTTTTTTAATCTAAAATTTTCTACCATTGTATAATTTCATTTTTTTCACATCTTATATGTATATGTAAAATTTAAACAATGTTTATAAATCCCAGGCCCTGAAGATGATCTCAAGAAAGATCGAAACGTTGGCATGATAAAATTTTTTTTTCTAAAACCTACGTCATACCAGACCGCACCTCATGATCTCCAAATAATCATTGGCTAACGGTCACTAAACACCACACATTGTGGTGTATTTTGGCTCTGCGTTAAGGAAAAAGTTAACTTCAAAATTTATTAATTGTTAAAAAAAGATTCCAAATTTAGATATCATACTTCATCGCTTCTTTAGATTTGTTTCCTGCTGGTAGTTGTACCTTCATACTGACGATAATTACAAAACAATTTCAGATTACACTCAACTAACCATATAAGATCATCCTGTAATCAGATTTATTTTATTAACATTGCCCATTTATTTACAACGCAACAATGAAGTAAGAAAGGCATCGGAATGTTTGGCGGAATAGCTCGAACAATATTTGATCCCTAAATCACAATACATAATTAACATTTTATTACGAGTTCGTTAAAATTAAAGTACTTTACAATTTCTTTCAAATGGAAATGCGGGAGTTGTGAGCAGTAGCTTTGTTAACACAATTTTTGGTCATTTTTAAACCTAATTTTTAATCGGCTCCTCGAGTCCATTCGACCTCGGATACAATTTTTGACCTAGTACCACTTAAAAAAAAGTTAATTGAAATTGGTGACACCTCCCCCCTGTAAATACTGAGTGTTGATAGTAACATCTCTAAACAAGCCACTAAATAACAAAGATAACCATAAAAAATGGTATTTTATTTATTTATTTTTAAACGAGAGTTTGCAACAGCACAGGTCATATGAGCCCCCGGGATAAAAGAAGTCCATCTGTAAGTATGTCGCATTCGAATGCAGAACCGCTGGATTCGAACCCGGTACCTTTTACCTTACTCTGATAAGCGCCGTGTGAACGCCTAAACCGTTGCGTCTACCCAGGCCCTCAAAATGTTGTTATTATTATTTTTGGTTTATGTTAGAAAATATTTCCGTGTTTATTTTTTAAATAAAAAAGTAAATATATTAATTGTTCAAGCGGACCACGAAATTAGTGAATTTAAGGAAGTAGATATATTATTTATTTACTTTTATTTGGACTTCGGGAATTTACATGAATCATCTTATAATTATCGTATTACATTTATAATTGATTATTGACCCTAACCTATTAGATATGACCATTTTGCATGACCAAGAAAACTATTTTGCGCTTTACTTGACTTATATGAGTAAATGACTATATAATAGAAATCATCCGTAATAGTAAAGACTGTATATAAGTAAATCATCCGTTTTGCAAATGTTAAAAAGAAAATATCGAACTGGTCCTGACGATCTCCCATCCTTATTACAAAAGATTCCACCTAATGCACCCTTACGCAAAAGTTCAAACTTTCGGCACGTTTTTCTGTAGACCAACAATCAAAGGTCAAACCGATCCGAGAAGAAGAAAGTGATTTCTTTACTCGTCTTCGACGATTACTAGATCCAAATCGTCGGACCGTTTATAACTTAACTTATAAAAAAGTACACAACATACATTATGATACGTCCGTATTTTCGCGTGCCCAAATAAGCTCTACACATAGAAAAGAAATTCCCTTGTTTATAGTCCAAAAAGTAAATATGGCGTGCTAACATAATACTGTAGGGTCATCTCAGACTTCTTACTGGGTCGCAACTTGTACAAAAATATATTGATAGAAACAAATTGGTAATGCAGGATGTTTTGTCAATGGCAATCGTTGCTCATTTTTAGTCAGATTTCGGGTCTCTCTCTCTCACTCTCACTCTCACTCTATCACTCTCTCTCTCTCTCTCTCTCTCCCTCTCCCTCTCCCTCTCTCTCTCTCTCACTATCACTCTCTCTCTTCTCTCTCTCTACCACTATCTCTATCTATCTATCTATCTAGCTATAAAATGAATCTATAAAATGAATAAAATGAATCATCTATCTCAAAAATGAAATAAATTACAACTTTAATCGTTATTTAAACTGAACCGATGCATTTAGGTCAAGCACTATTTTCATTGAATTTTTCCGTAACCCATCATTTTGGTGATATATAATTTAATAGATGGACTAATTTTTGATGCACTAATATCGATATTTTTCAAAGAAACTGAATACCTTTTTTTTTAACTTTTTTTTAACGAGGGTTCGCAACAGCAGGGGTCATATAATCACTCAGGGTGCCGGTAGTTTTGAGAAAAAGCCCATTTGTAAGTATATCGGGTTCGAATGCAGGGCCGCTGGATTCGAACCCGGGACCTTTACTTTACAGTGATGAGCGCCGTGTCAACGCCTAAACCGTTGCGGCCACCGACGCCCNTCTCTCTCTCTCTCTCTCTCTCTCTCTCTCTCTCTCTCTCTCTCTCTCTCTCTCTACCTACCTACCTATCTATCTATCTATCATCTATCTATCTATTTATCTGACAATTTTCTCCAGCTCTGAATATATTTAATTGAGTGATTCACCTAAAAATGGATATTCAGCAGTGGGCTGAACCAGTCATGTTCCGGAATATTGCCCCTTGTCTCGAAGGCCGATTTTAATAGTTCGGGCTACGAACTGTTTCCATCTGTTGCGTGGCATTTCCAAAAAATTTGGCCAACAACCAAATACCCTTGTGAAGACATCTGGAGCGTTGTTTATTTAGGATGTAAGTTAATTTAATTTCCAGCCAGTTTGACAGCGATACCAAATTCCTAAATAAAACAGAACACTACAATAAATGTCACCCTAATTGGATTGGATTGTCGTTCTATTCGATTTGAATTTGAATTTCATTGCAAAACTATTATTTACGGGGCTCAATAGAAATAACGAA